AGAACTGGGATGGGCGAATTAGGCCTCAGAGGTGAAAGGCCAGCATATTACTGACAGCCCATTTATCTGCCAGGCAGCACTATTCTAAGTTATTGCCCCAGGGAAACCATTGCATTAGGGCAGTGTGATATCAGCCTCATGAATAGATACTAATCTATATTGTGGCAATCACTCTCTTTGCCCTGCTTAGAAGACACTGTGGTTGATACTGGGATAATTAGCTGTTAAGTTCATTGAGGGCTTATGTGAAAGTTATCAGTGAAATAGCTTTTATCTGGCAAATTTTCTAATAGGATTCTACCTAGAATTAACTTTTTTTAAAAAGCACATTTAAAAAAATTTCTTGGCACATGTCAGTCTTAGTGGCATGTATTTCAGATTTGAAAGGAAATCTTGTTTCAGGTCCCCCTTTTAAAAATACTTGTGTATTATTTTGGGAAATTCTAGTGTTCCACATACTTACATGTGGCTTTAGTTTTATTTAACCAGAACCTCATGACTACCCCTAGAGTATAACCATTATTTTAATATTGCCAATTCTGTGTGTTAATTCCCCATACACAAGGATGACTGGAGGATCTTTTCTGATTTAAGACCAAGCAAAATTGTCAACAAATTATCTAATAAGGATATAGTTAGCTGTACAACAAAGCATTTGTTGTAGGAAATAAGCTAAAGTAACTAAACATTTTGCAGGAGATCTAATTTTAGCTTAGCCATTTTCATCATATTCCCTTAGATAAATATAAAGATAATTATATAGTTGTGGAAATTTCCAAGACTGCCCAAATATATATGTTGAAATTACATGTGTTTTTTTTTTTTTTTTGCATTCAATGTACGAAGGTAGTTGCAGTATAACTATTCAGATTTTGGTGAGAGACACTGGAGTTGTATCAACATATGCACTGAGAATGCAGTTCTGGAGTACAAAGACATTACACAACTATTAAGTCTGTGTTTTCCCAAGAAGAAAGAAGTAGCTGTCTGGGATGAGTTGTGAATTTGGCTATTTATTTCCACTTAGTGTCAATGAGGAAACCTACAGTTCTACTTTTATAGTTCATGATGTTTTGCATCTCAGAATTGCTTGAAGTATGGATAGCCAAGGGAAAATATGAATGTTTTTTTTTTTTTTTAAAGAACCTAGGGATTTTGAGCATGAACAGATTTTGGAAAGCTAATCTATAAAACAGAGACTTGCTGCTTTCAGCATAATTCCAGATGGAAGGAGGCAGGTTAATGGGAAAAAGTTATACAGAGAGATATTTTTGAATAAGTTTCAGGAAGACCTTTTTAATAAACTGTATGTAACAATGACTCAGTTGTCATGGAACATGTGACTGTTCTGCCCTGGACATTTTTAAACAGAGGTTAAAACCTGTCAACCATATTTTATAAGGGGAGAGGAAAACCTACATTAAATTAAAACTAACTGGCTATTCGAAATATGAACATCGGTAAGTCTAATTAATTCTCTGTTCTCAGTCTCATTTGTGAAGTGTGATACCTGCTGCGACAGTAGATTGTGTTAAGAATTATATTGATGGTTGCGTGCTGACATGAAGTTTAACCCATTCTCTTATTTTCATTGCATTTTTTAATCTATCAGTTAATGTGATTATGTTTGCCTTCTTAGCAATGTTATTGTGCCTTTTTTTTTTTTGTAAAAGGAGGGAATATAAAGGGGCTTTTTGGCAAGAAACCATCCAGCCCACCGTATCATAGAATACCTATGATGTGCTAGCATCAGAAGCAAGGGGCAAAGTGTCAAAATTCATCATGTTGTGCTACCCTTGCTTCATTTCTTTTATCTCTTGATCTCTGTAGCACTGACAACAGATCATGCTGAAATCAGAAATAAGTAGCCAAAGATCACCCTAACAAATGGCCAAAAATAAATTCCATTATATCATGGACCCAACTCATTCCACACACACACACAAAAGGTATATAAGTCAAATAAACATTGTACTTTGCAAGTTGATTATGGCTGAAATTGAGGCTAGTTATAATGTTCTATTGGCTGTTACCTGGGCTCAGCCATAATTCTTAACAAGGGTTACACATTTTTGCTTTAGGAACAAGGTCAGCAACATACCTATGCCAGTGTGCTCCTGGATGAACTTCCCAGATGAAGCTCATAACCAAGAAGAAAGTAATAGCAGAAAAGATAGAATAAATGAAAAACATAAGGAATAAGTAGGACTGTAAAAGCAAAATCTATCATTCCTACTTTGTAGCATAGCTAGGTCTTATTTCTTGACCACAGCATATTAATATATGTAGCCTTTTTAATTTTAAATGTTATAATTTTCCTAGGCTGCTTGTCATGGGCATTTTACTCCATCTTTACAAAAAGATATGTGAGGCAGCACTGCTCCATGGTTAACACCTTACAGCCTCTTATGTAGCCTGGATATTTCTGTATTTTAATACCTAATATCTGTTTGGGTGGTGAAATATCATCAAAGTTAATTTTTTTCCCCGAACACTCTATGAATTTTCAGTCATTTCTTCTTGAGAATGACTACCTTGGGCATGTGGACAGTAAAGAACTGGTGTTTCCATCATTTGTCACGTGGCGTTGCTCCCTTTCATGTCTGTGGCTCTTGGCAGGAGACAACTGCAGTGAAGGCCAGGGCAAAAGACTGTCCCCAGTATTTGAGGCCACATCAGCTATTTCAGGTTTAAAAACTCCTTTTTCTTGCCTTTAGCCTCTATTTAAAAACTGTCACAGAAACAAAATACCCAGGAAGTTTGCCAAATGAGATGCTTTCGTTGCCCTAGAAATGCTCAATAAAATGGAGGCTAACTGCACTTCTGACCCCCAGATATGGAATAAGTATCATGCACACTAGACTCCATCTTAGAAATTCAACTTTATACTGCATCCTCATCCACATATTAAACTTCTAAATCAGTTATTGTATGTGTAGGAAATATTTAGGTTTCATTTCAACACATTGCCACACTAGAAAAGAAATTTTTTTTCCTCTGGGGCCACATTTTTTTTTATTATGAAAATAGAATAAAAACTTCAAAAACAAAACAATCCTTTATAATTTAATGGAAAAGTTGTTTATTTTTTTATTGTTTTCTGTGCATGAGTTATATGCCACTTGAAAAATAGTTCATGAGGGTATAGGTAAAGAGATGTGTGAGTTACATATGCTTCACAAGGCCCTGGGCTCAAAACTAGCATGAGTTAAATACAACTCACTGGGCAGTTAATGTGTAAAATTAGTAGCAGCAACTTAATAGAATGTGTAAAACAAGCTCTTTTTATACTCAAGGCATGTATGATGTGTTGAGAACAAGTCTGATAAACATGTCACCAAAGGATCACAAGAATGGAACAACAAGCAACACATGTACTTACCATCAAATTGGTACTAACTGAGCGACACTTAGGTGCTCACATGGAAGTAATATTCATCAGGTGGCGGGCAGGTGGGAGGGGGGTAGTGGGGATGGGTAAACTCACAACTAATGGGCAAGGAACACACTGTATGGGGGATGGCTCTGGCTTGGGCGAGGCAAAGGTATTATATGTAACTAAAATGTTTATACCCCTAAAATATTCTGGAATTAAAAAAAAAATTTTTTTTTAATTTCACTGAGAACAGTTCTCATGGAATGTTGTTTTTGGGAAAGACGATGAAGTCTGCTGTTTGTGTGAGGGCGCCACTCTATAGCATCTGGTAGGGAAATGCTGCATGAGTGTGAGATTAAAGTCATGCCTCCAGGCCTCCGTGGCACAAGAACTGAAGCAAAGGAGGGATGTGGCAACTCCTAACGTGTCTCAGCAACCACGCCAGCTAAATTGGGGTGAAGAGCGCAGTGTTTTTCAGCCCTCTGCCTTCTGATTGACTGTAGTGATAAGAAAGTGTTGACTGAAACTTTTCAGTTCTGTTTAAATTGTAGCCACATTTGTTTTCCCCCCTCAGAGGTGGTTGTTGAAAAGGATTTTGATGACTTTATTCAACTGATTGCTGGAGTCTTTCATGGAGCTGTTGAGATCTTTTCTCAGTAACCTGGACATCTAGAAGAGAATGACAATCATTCATCCTCCTTTATATGTTTAGTGTAGCGTTTTCAGCCAGTTATAGCTTCACCTTGGTTAGTGATTAGAACAAAAAGTCCTAAAGTGTAGTAGGCTATGGCTTACGTCCCGAAATGTGCAACAAATATCATGTTTATGAGTTATCTCTCTCTTAGGAAGGAGAAGTTTCACCTCTAAATGAAAAAGTGACTGTGAGGTTGTCCACTGTGACCAATATTGGTGCAATTAGGCCCGTGTGCAATTGAAGCTGCTATTCTCAAAAATGAAATATTGAACTGGGATCTTCATTGCACATTTGAAGAGACACAAAGAGAAGGGATGGATCTGTATTTCAAATATTGTTGATGCTATTGGCTTAGACATGTTCCCTTTATTGGGTCTGTTTTGCAAGCCTAAATTTGAGCCTGAAGAGTTTCTCCATATAAATGTCTTAAGTATTGTGGTGGCACATCCATCACCTTTTTGCTTTTGAATTACAAAGATAACCTTAAGATATGAGCCTTATACTGGGCAATGTGATACATACACAGAAAGGGTGAGCCTCCTCAGTGATGAAATCAGCCAGTGCCCAAGAGGAAAGTAATAGGCAGAAAGGATAGAGTTGATGAAAAAATTGATTCTTTTCCATTAAACTGTACGTGATGCGTTTTTTATGAAGCAGGCATCAGCTGAAAGAAATATTTTTTCAACTAAAAAGATTGATGGTGAGGGAGAGGAAAAGTATGTAGGGGATCAGGGGATAAATATGTGTCTTATTCTATTACCATCTCATATAATGAGAAAGTCGAAAAGCATTCCATTGTGGTGACTCCAAATATTTACTTGGATTTGGTGGTATTAAAACTTTTAAATAATGGTGCTTTTTTTTAAAGTACATGTAGACATCACACATGATTATTTTCTCCATTCTAAAGTGCGTGTTGCTTGTTTTCAGGTTTGCCAAAGATGCAGGTCATTAGGAAGTATTCTGGGACACCACCCCCAGCTCTCCATGAAGGACCGCCATTGCACATTCAGGCAGGGGACACGGTTGAACTTCTAAGAGGAGACGCACACAGCCTGTTTTGGCAGGTACTATCCAAATTACAATTTGTTAGATTTAACGGATGATTTATTACTCCTTAAAGAATAAAGCTCTTGTCTTTAGAAACCACATGCTTTCAGCTTCAGAAATTGTACATGATGTGAAACATTTTTTATTAACCTTCCCCATATTTACCAATGCCAAAGTTGCAGTGAGCATTAGAACACTAGAGAAAAATATTATTAGTGCTATGGGTCATAATTATCATTTTTATTAAAAAATTCATACTCTATCAGAGCATTTTTCCAAACTGAGGACCTGTGGGTATGATCTAATTTGCATGGCTTTAATATATTAACAGTTCACGTTGGGGGAACTACCTAATTAGCTTGCCAGTAGCCATTTTTGACCACATTTGATTTTTGCCTACCCACAGTAATGCCTGGGGTATTACTGGGTCTATGGGCATTATTCTTGAAATACATGAAATATGAAGATTAAGTGAGCATGTTGATGTTCGTTGGTGACAAAATCTCTCTTGGCCAGTAAGCCTATATTTGGTTCAAGTATTTCATTAACTGAGGTAAATATGGTGTAATGTTAAGATTTGATAAAGCTGGATGGTAGAACTCTGCTGTTCATTAAATTATTCTTTGTTTCATGTGTAAGTTTGAAATATTTCCCAAGGAAGTTGAAATAATTTGTTAGAAACCTGTTGTACACTGAGGAAAGAGAGAGGGAGAATCAACAGAAAGATTAGCACATAAGCGAAATTTTGTTACAGGTAAAGAAAGAGAAAGCAGAGGAGGACAATTGGATAATAATCCATTCTGCACATGTGGAAGTGATAGCTATTTTCTTTGCTTAAAACTGTTTTATTTTCTGCCATCTTGTTACATAAGAATGCCTCTAGATTGAATGTTTATCTCCAACTGCCATTTCAATTGCTGTAGCCAATTAGTTTTCTAAAGCTCTACCATTCTTGTAAGTATCCTATTCCTCTCAGACCTCAGCCTTTCCAGAAAAGGAAGAGAGAAAATAACAAACTTGAATTCTATTAACTGTTCAGCCCATTCCCACATCTCTCAACCTAACCACAAAACATACCTGCATTTGTGGCCATAAGGTTCACCTTAGTCAAGACTTATCTTTCTTCTCGGATTTCCTATCCCATATTTCATCAGCTGGCTCTTGCCCTCTAAATTTTCAACTTTATTCTCTCCATGTGTCTCTTTCTATAGCATATAAATATGCTGGAACACATGTAACAGCCTTTCGTCTGGTTATGTCAGGCTCCCTTGTGCTCTCTCACCCTCTTCCTCTCCCACACCCAAGCATGACCTTATTGGGGAAATAGTCTGTGCTCAGGTTCTGCCCCTCTGTGTCCTCTTCATAATCCAGTCTTCAGCTGAAATTAGTCCTACTTGGGTCACTAGTGCTACTTTTTGTAAAAATGGTTTTGAGATATATGATAAACTATACATATTTTAAGTGTACAATTGGATAAGTTTTAAATGCATATACAAGGGAAACCATCACCACAATCAAGATAATAAACAAATCCCTCAGCCCTAAAAGTTTTTGTGCCCCTAGGAATCCCTCCTGTTGTCTTGCTGTCTCCCCACACCAACCCTCAGGCAACCGGTGTCCTGCTTTCAGACTATAGATGAGTTTGCATGGTTTAGAATTTTATATTGTAAATCATATATTAATAGTATGTATTTTTATGGCTTCTTTCATGTGACATATCTTCAGATTCAACCATGTTTCTGTGTGTAACAATAGTTCTTTCTTTTTATTGCTGATTATTACTCCATGTGTGGCTATAGCACAATTTGTTTATCCATTAGCCTGTTGATGGCTTACTAGTTTTTGTCTATTACAAATAAAGCTTCTATGCACATTCACATATAATTCTTTGTATGAACATAATGCTTTCATTTTTCTTAGGTAAATACCACAAGGGGAATGGGTCAGTTGTATGTAAACATATGTTAAAGTTATTGAGAAATTACCAGGCTACTTTTCAAAGTGACTGTAAGTTATATATGAGACTTCATAATTTGCTCCATACCCTTGCCAACATTTGGTATGGTCACTCTTTAAATTTCTTTATTCTATCAGATAGGTAGTGGTATCTCATTGTAGTTTTGATTTGTATTTCCCTAATGACTAATAATGTTGAACATCTTTTAATGTGCTTATTTACCATCTATATACCTTCATTGGTGAAGTGCTTGTTCAAATATTTTGTCCAATTTTTTAACAGGTCTTGTGTTTTCTTATTTAGTTTTGAGAATTCCTTATATATTTTGGGTACTAATCCTTTATAAAATATATTATTTCCATATATTTTCCCCTAATCTGTGGCTTATATTTTTTATTTCTTAGTAATGTTACACATAGAATAGAAATTTTACTTTTGATATAGTCCAATTGTTAATTTGTTCTTTTAAGGATCATGCTATGGGTTTAATTTATCTACGAAATCTTTGTCTATCCCAAAGTTACATTCTCTTTTGTTTTTTTCTAGAATTTGTATAGTTTTATATTTTACATTTAGGTTTATGATTCATTGTGGGTTATTTTTGTATATGGTACTAATGGTGGGTGGGTGGGGGTTCTGTATGTGGGTACCTAGGTGTTCCAGCAGCATTTATTGAAAAGGCAATTATTTCTTCACTGGATTCCCTTTGCGTTTTTGTAGAAAATGGGTTGTCCATATATTTGTAAGTCTGTTTCTGGCTTCTGTATTTTGTTACAATTGATCTCTTTCTCCATATTTATGCTGATATAATTTTTCTTGATTATTGCACTAATAAAGAGTGTTGAAGTCAGACAGGGTTACTGCTCCAAATTTGTTCTTTTCTCTTTTTCAAAGATGTTTTGGCTATTCTTGGTCCTTTGCATTTCATATGAATTTTAGAATCATCATGTCAATATTACCAATAAAAGCCTACTGAGATTTTGTTTGGGATTTCATTGAATTGTAGATCAATATGGGAGAATGACATCCTGACAATACTGAGTCTTCTGATCATTGAATATGCTATCCTTTCCATTTTTGTAGGTCCTTAATTTCTCAGCAGTGTTTTATAGTTGTCCGGAGTTAAGGTCATACACATCTTTTGTTATATTCATCTGTACTTATATTTCATTTTGATGCTATTATAAGTGATAGTTTTAAATTTCAGTTTCTATTGTTCATTGCTGGTATATAGAAATAATAATTTTTGTGTATTGATGTTTTCTGTGGTAACCCTTGTTAAACTCACTTACTGGTTCTTGTAGCTTTTCTTTGGTAGATTCCAGAAGATATTTTTAATGTAGATAATCATGTTGATGATGAATACACACAATTTTTGTTATTTCTTTGCAATCTTTTATTTCTATTTAACTTGTGTCTTTTATTTCTAGTTAACTTGTGGCAATGGCTATTGTGTCCAGTAAAATTTCTGGTAGAAGTGTTGAGAGAGTACATCCCTGCCTTATTCTTGATCTTAGGGAGAAAGCATTAAGTCCTTTGCCATTAAGTATGATGTTATCTGTAGTTTGTTATAAATGCCTTTTTATCAAGTTGAGGATATTTTCTTCTAGTCCTAGTTTCTTGCAAGTTTTTATCAGTAATGGATATTGGATTTTGTCAAATGCTCTTTCTGCATCAATTGAAATGATTGTATCTTTTTTAGTTTATTAATATGGTAAATTTGATTTTCAAACATTAAATCAATCTTGCTTTCCCGAGATAAACCCCAGTTGGCAATGATATATTATTCTTTTTATATATTGTTTTATTTTCCTGTAGTATCTTTATCTGGTTTGGGTAATGATGTAATGCTCAAAGAATGAATTTGGAATTATTTCCTTCTCTTCAATTTTCTAAAAGAGATTTATAGAATTGGCATTATATCTTTCTGAAGTGCTTTATAGAATTTATCAGGGAAGCTGTCGAAGCCTGGAGTTTCCTAAGTAGCAAGGTTTTTTTTAAAACTACAAATTCAATTTGTATAATAAATATAGGGCCATTCATGTTATCTGTTTCTTCTTGAGTGAGTTTTGGTAGTTTTTGTCTTTTTCATGAAATTTGTCTAGTTTAAGTTGTCAAATTTAATAGTATCAAGTTGTTCATAATATTCCTTCATTATCCTTTTAATATCTATAGAGTCTGTAGTGGTATCTCTCTCTCATTTCTGCTATTGGTGATTTGTGTCCTCCCTTTTCCTGGTCAGTCTGACTAGATGGTTATGAATTTTATTGATCTTCTCATAGAACCAGCTTTTGGTTTTATTGGTTATCTTGTTTTTGTTTTCGTATATCATTGATTTCTGCTCTGGTCTTTATTACTTCTTCTCCTTCAAGTTTAATTTTTTTTTTCTTTTTCTGGTTTGTTAAGGTAGGGTGTTTGTTCATTGATTTGAGTACTTTCGTTTCTTTTTCTAATACTGGCGATTACTACTGTAAATTTCTTTTCTAAGTACTACTTTTGCTACCTCCCCCAAATTTTGGGATGCTGTATATTTTTCTTCTCAGCTCAGTCGGTTCAAAATACTATTGGTCCCTGACTTACAGTGATTTAACTCAACAATTGTTGGACTTTACAATGGTGTGAAAATGATAGGCATTCATTTTCATTGGAATGCCTATTGGAATACTCATACAACTTTTCTGTTTTTCACTTTCAGTACAGTATTCAATAAGTTACATGAGCTATTCAGCACTTTATTACAAAATAGGGATTGTGTTAGATAATTTTGCCCAACTGTAGGCTAATGTAAGTGTTCTGAGCATGTTGAAGGTAGGCTAGGCTAAGCTATGATGTTCAGTAGGGTAAGCAAATTAAATGCATTTTCAATTTAGGATATTTTTTTAACCTATGATGAGTTTATTGGGACATAACCGCATTTTAAGTCAAGGGGCATCTATATTTTCTAATTACTCTTTGAATTTCTTTGTATGAGTTATTTAAAAGTATATTAATTAGTTTCCAAATATTTAGGAATTTCTCAGGTATATTTCTCTTCTTAATTTCTATTTTAATTCCATATAA